AAAAAAAAAAAAAAAAAAGAAAAGAAAAGAACGTAGCTATCAGTCCTTTGACATGTATTACCTCAACAACCCTCTTCTAGTTGCTTCACAAGTATGAAATTCCTACCACATTTCTAATCATATTTATTTCTAAAGTACTTATTCTTCATTAAGATCTTCAAAAGTTTCAACCCAAGTATAAAAATCTAGATATACATATGATAATATATACATTTATATTTATAACTTGATCTAAAAATAACTTTAATGTTTGTATCCTAATAACCCTATTCCAGTATGTGTTGATGCTATGAATGGGAAACACATAATTAGACTGAAGATCTAAATGTCATATCAGAAATAAGAGTTGGCAAAACATGACACAGATTTTGCTCAGACCAAACAACTGGCAAGCCAGCTACTCTGACTGGAGGGGAATTACAAAGTTTAATCTAAAAAGATTCCACTTCCCACCAACATATTTGTCTATTTCCCTTTCTTTTTGTTTTAATACTCACTCTGTTTTTGGAACAGCTTTTCTTAGCCAGAAGAAATCAGACTGTGCTAAATACTTGCGGGTTTGCAGGACATTGCCAAAGTAGTCCGATTCTGAAAATTTGATCTGAATAAAACAAACCACAACATCATTGTTCTAAGTGAAAATAAGAGATGGCTCTAAAAACAGATGTCAGCACATGAAGCAACAACCAGCAGATAAACTATGGCCTTCAGAGCATCTCTCAGCCATTACTGGTTAATACACAGTTCCCCAAGCCATGAAATTTAATCTCAGTGATTTTCTTTTAACATAAAATCTCAAAAATCAATATGGTCATTTCTGGATCACAATAAAAGAGAGAGAGAGAGAGAGAGAGAGAGAGAGAGAGAGAGAGAGAGAGAGAGAGAGAAGCTGTAGTCATTTACAATGTGTTCCAATTACCTTATAATTGAAAAAAATCTACTTTAACCTTTATAAAATATATTATTTTAGGTTTCAAATTTCTTGGCTCACAAGTTCTTGATGTATTCTAAAATGTGTACTTTATTTATTTTTCAGAAAAGAGTCTTCTAATAATATTCAGTTTAATCAACTGAAACCTCATTTAGCTTATAGATGATGATTTAGTCAGATGTTAAAATCCAATTTACTATAATCAGAATTTATTCATAAAGGAAAAAAAGAAAAAAGTCAGAGACCTATTTGCTACCCTAAGAACAATGGAGTCACCAGAATAATTTAATTATTAGCAGAGTTTATCTATTAACACAAAAAGGCTCTCGTTGCTAAAAATTAATGAAATTACAGGGGCAAGTCATAGATTACAGCTTGCATGGAAATACAGGAAACTGATAGCTCACAACAATATTGTTTATTATGATAAGGAAACTGACATAATTGATTATTCAGTTCCTTTTCTTTTATTGAGAATGGCAAACAATTTCAATCCTATCACATTCTATCTACAATAGTAGCAATAATTAAGCAAAATAGTGTAATAATATGAGTATCATAGCAAATGTATCAGTACATAATGATCTCTAATGCTTTCATTCTAAAATATATTGCTGTCACAAAAAATTTTTCAAACTAGATGTATAACTATGGCAAATAAGAAAAACATACATTTGAGTAAGTGAGTAACCAAGAGCAATTAAATTCTTATTAGCTGTAATTTTTGATAACTTTATACCATGGTCTTTTAAAAGTAAACATTACAATATAACAAATGCATGCATTTCATGAAACCCACCTATACTGCATTACAGATATGAATGCACATAATTTGACAGTTGCAGTCTTGACAGATTGTCTATTTGTTGGTCAATGTGTGGTTTACATTTATCTCTACCCTAAGATAGAATAGGTTTTTCATATCTGTGGAGATATTTTTGTTAATGAATCATCTTAACATCTTTCCAGAAGACCAGGCCAAAATATAAAGGAAGATGTAAAGCAACTGAGAACACATGGAGAAAGGCAGGAATTAAAATATCAATTCCTGGCATCCTTGGTGTTCTTCTTGGCCAACAAATTATAAAGATATGACTTTAAATTGTCCTTTCCTCAAACTGCTTGGCCAAGGGAGAGAGGGTTGATAAATAAATCATAGCATATTCACATAGTGGAAAACAATAGAGTTTAAATGAATGTTCTGTATGCGTGAACATGAAATAATCTAAAAAACAAAGTGACTAAGGCAAGTTGTATGTATGAAAGGATTTAAAGTTTTTAAACATGCACAGCAATAGTATATATTCATTATGGACACATACTTATGGAGCAAAGGTACAAAGAAATGCATAGGAATGATAGATATGAACTCAAGATAGTGTTTTTATCCAGGAGATAGACATAGCAGAAAGACATTAGATCAAGGAGGATTACACACTGAATTGAAAATATATCTCCTTTATTTATTTAAAATATGTGTGTATTCTGGGCATGGTGGTCCTGTCTATAGTCCCAGCTACTTTGGAAGCTGACACCTAAAGATCACTTGAGCCCAGGAGTTTGAGACCAGCCTGAGTAACATAAAGAGACTTCATCCCTAAAATAATAATAACAATAACAATGTATGTGCATGTACAAAACTAACTCAATAACATTTTTGAAGGTAGAAGTGTAAGAAATATAATTTTACATACTGTTCCAATGTTATAGATGTTTCATTATTTAAAAATCTTACAATGGGTTATATTTTCAGATTAAGAATATCTCTTAGCCTCAGGAAAATAACAGAGAAAGCATTTTTCTTTAGAAAGCAAACTTCACTAGCAATCCTAAAGCATTCCTGTATCGTATGGATAAGAGATGAGTCTGGGGTTCAACCCTGAGCTTCTTTTCAGCTTTTGTTTCTCAGACACTTTTGCTAGGACCTTAGAATATAACTGGATCTGATAGAAAATTCATATGTTCATGGACTCAGCACAGTGTCCCAAAGGAATTTGCTTCAAAAATATTTACTATTTTATGTCATAGCAATAGAATCAGTTTTTACTTTTAGGAGGGTTTGCTAATTGTGGCATTTTTCTGTTTAATCTGGAGAAAATAAAACTTGACAGTCAGCTTGGTCCACGGACATTAAAGCCTAACCCAAGACTTCCTAAGAAGAAAAGAGTTCCAAGTCTAAAAATACCATAAATAATAAAGAGCCATAAAAATAATAATGAGAGGGTAAAACTCAGTGGAGGCAAATTTCAGTCACCATAGCTTTTATGTTTTAAAGGACAATTCTTATATTGTATTGATTAGGAAGAAAAATTCGTTATGTCTTAGACTGGTTTCATTGATTTATTCCATTTATTTAAAGGAAATTACAAGTAATGGGGGAGAAATATTACTTGTTCCTCTGAGATAGGTTAAGTGTTTAGAGGTAAGAAGGGGCCAATTATTGCTATTCTGAGATGAGAAGACTGATAGACAAGAACCGGGGCTAAAAAGGTTATGAAACTCGGCAGAGCCTCACAGTACCAATACGTTGGCTCCTTCCACAATGTAATTTACATTGGCCCAGTAAGAAGCAGATCCAACAGAAAGCTTACAAGGAAGGAGGAGGAGAAGGTAAGAACTGGCAATTGGACTAGAAGCAGTGAATACATAAATCATGATATGGCTTACTGAAATACTAAGTAGTCATTAAAAGAATGGTAACAAAGACTATGGAAAACAGTGACAAACCAGTATATTAACTGTAAAGATTAGTATGAAATTATATATAAATATCCAATAAAGCTATACAGAAAAAGAGAAAAACAAAACACTCGTAAGGAAGTATATATTATTATGTTCAGGTACTAATATTATGGGTGAATTTTTATTTGTCTCTATTTTCCAAATTTTCTGCTATGTGACAATACTTGGATAATTTCAAAGATTTCAAAAGGCCTTTATATGATTAAAAAAAAAAACTGGAAGCCCAGCAACCATTAGGAGAGTTCTGCTTGTTGGAGAGATACTAACAAATGTGACTGTGCATGAATATTTTAAAATCACTTGTGATCTCAAAAAAAATAAACTCTTCAAGGGACAATAATTAGCTCAAAACTTCTTATCCTTTCAGTTACTGGAAAAAGTCCAGGCCCAATTGTAATGACTTTCAATCAATTCCATCTCTTGACCTTTCAGTTGAGTGACCTTTGGTGAAGTAATTGGAGCTATCATGTCATTTCATAGGAACAGCTGTCCAGACTACAAAATTCACTGGAACCTGGATTTCTCTTCTTGGAAATACTATCCTTGATGCCAAGCACCAAATGCCACAGAATAAATGGAAGAATAAAGTTATCACTGCCCACCTAAAGTGAGGTACGTATAAAAAAGGCATAACAAGGAAACATGCTCACTTTCATTCTCTGAAGAAAGAGTAAACATGTATCTAACAAGACACCACTTGTGTCAATGGAAGTATAGATTCTAACTCATTTGTCTTTTAATTCAAATCCATTTTAAAATACTCTGAGATATATCCAAATAGCTGTAAGAATAATTTTATGTTAGGCACCGAAAGAATTTCTGAATGCCTAATGGAATCCAGATTATATATCTATATTTTTCTTTATTTAAACAACAGAACAATATGCAATATATGTGTGTTTAGATGTCTTCGTCCCTAAGTAATGTGTGTATACACGTATGTGTGCATGCACATACACACACACACACGAGTCCACCAAAAAATGTATACATGCTTCAGAAAAAAAAGAGTGATGTTTTATCAACAGATGGTGTTACCCTCATACGGGAAACCCTAGAGGATGTCATATATCACAGAAAACCCACTACACTGCTCGCCCTTAGAGAAGAAATTGAAAAGGTATGTGCAGCAATCTCTCACTGACCGAGGTTACCCAAGCAGCAGCTCACTCCCCTAATAAATGTCTGGAAGTTAATGGCCACCACTTTGAGCACCTCTTGTAACTGTAGATGCTAAAGGTAACTTGTAATAATCTCATAATATCTCAATAAATTTATTATTAAAATTTTTATACAAGTTTTTTCTTTTCCTGAAATGTGTGTACATTTTCTAGCAGACTCTGAATATACAGGAGTAGATCCATACACACCTTATACCGTGGAAGACAAACTTTCCCCAAGCATCTACATGAGTGTGACTGAGACACCACCATCCAGTGGTGCTCCCACTCTACACGGGGGAGAAGGGGTGGCCTCTGTACTCTAGCCATTGGAACACTCTGGATGGAGGCTAGCATGGGGGCTTAAGAAGGCCTGTGTTAGGGTTTATGTCTGCATGACCCCTTAAAGCCTCATGCAGTCATGGGGTGGGCTTTTAGAGTTTATGATTGATCCATGATCCAATGCTGGGATTATGGGTGTGAGTGCTACACCCGCCCTGGCGTAGACAGTTTGCATATATAAAGGAGAGGAAGAGGCTGCTTGCAGCACTCCTCCCTTTTGCTATGGCTGCTTGCTGTTTTCAGCTGCCATGAACAGTTGCCCTCTGCCATGTGCCACTCTGCCTTGGAGCCAGCCGAGTATGGACTGAAACCTCCACAGACTGTGAGCTAAATAAACCTTTCCTTCCTTAATTCTGGGTGTCAGGTATTTTGTCTCAGAAATAAGAGAAAAGTAACCAAGACAGCCTGGTTGGAAGGTTGGTGGGTACCAGGATACCCCATTTCCAGTGTTTACTCTTGGCTTTACAGTGTTGTAGTGACCAGGGGTCTCAAGAGAGGTGAGGGAAATAATTTTTGTTTCTATTTTCATCAGAGTACAGAATTATTTTACTATTTTAACAACTTTCTTTTCTGGAGCATTCCACCCAAATAGCATTCTTAAATAGTTGCATTTTCCATCATTTATATACATCTCTCTCTCTCTCTCTCTCTCTCTCTCTCTCTCTCTCTCTGTGTGTGTGTGTGTGTGTGTGTGTGTGTGTGTGTGTGTGTGTCTCTCTCTCTCTCTCTCTCTCACACACACACACACACACACACACACTGTTCCACTGGCTGACCAACATTAACCCCAGAGAATAAAAATGTGGATTTGCTATATATACATTTACGTGTGTGTATATAATCACTCACCAGAAACACCAATCACTAAAAAAATTACTTATTTCCAATCCTAAGTAAATGAGGACCAGCTATGATTCTGACTTTAGTCCCTACTGCAATTCTTCACTGGCTTTCACAAGAATGCCCGAGGTGCCTCAGTCACTCAGCTACATGCGTACCCTTTCACTCTGTTACTAAAGTAATGCTGGGCTGTGGCAATCTGAAAAGTCTTCATGCCTGGGTTCTTTTCTGAATTGGCCTCCTGCCCACTGAAGGTACTGGGAGAAATTAGCAAATGCCAAGAGGCAACAATGTGCTGTGTTGCTGCTCCCTCCACGCTCCACCTTGTCCTGGAAGAACAAGCCTTCAGTTCTTCCTCCACAGCCCAACTTTGGAGCGGCAGCTCATCCTCCACTCTCCTAAGTGACAATACTATTGCATTCTCCTTTCTGTGCTCCCAGACCCAGGGTAGCAGCTGCTTTCTGAACTTATTAATTGCTGTTTTACTTCACCTTCCTCTTTTTTACCTTCCAAATTATTTCCTGTACTAAATCCTCTGTTTGAAATGTCTAGTGTGCTTTCTGCTCTACTGGCTGATACATCAACCTTTCCAAAATTGGTACAGACTCACTCTTGCATCTATTTCCATTACAGATCAATGAAATAGAATAACGCTTTATAAGAATAATCTGAAAATAGATGGGTACCTACCACTTGAGGCTAATAGCCTTTACTGGATGCTGATGTGAGTTCAACAAAAAGCACTGCCTTTCTTCTTGTTCTTTTGTGTGCGTGGTGGGGGGTACCAGAGATACAACCTAGGACCTTCACACTAAGCTACATCCCCAACACTTTTTTTGACACAGGGCCTTGCTAAGTCACTAAGTTGCCCAGGCTGGGCTCAAACTTTCAATTCTACGGCCTCAGTCTCTCAAGGTGCTGGGATTAGAGGTGTGTGCCTCTTCCAGCCCTTCTTGTCCTTTTCAGAGACTAAGAGGCTTATTGTTCAGAAACGCTTTGTGGAGTATCTTAATTTACCTTGTCATCCATAGAGGAAAACAAATTCTGATTCTGTTTCACATTTGCGTCTCAATTCTTTTTCATTTGCTCTCATCTCCATATGAGCCCAACTTCAGTTTGCAACCTTTCTCCTGGACTCTAGTCTGATCCATCACCTAACCCCGTTCCTCTTTCGTATTTGTGCCTGATGAATCATACCTTCACCCGTGTCAAAGGTAATAAGCTGACTTCAATAGCCTCTCGTGCTCAGAGCTTGTATTACCAGAACTTTCTCACAGGCCCTGCAGTCGTCCTTATCTACATGCTCCTACACAGTCCCATTTTGTCTCTGCAATGCTTTGGTCCTCTTGCTGCTAACCTCGGGGATGCTATTACAATCTGCTCCATCATCCTTTCCCCTATTTTCAGGTTAGGTCTTATTCATTTTCTCTATCCGTTTCTGAATACAAAGGTCTTTTTATTTTATATATTTGGATGTTTTTCACCACTGATTTCATAAACTGTTAGAAATTCTTGAATGTGACTGTCTGCTTTGGCAATGAGTCAGATGAAAGCCATTTCTTTGCAAAAGTGCTTAAAAATCTTCGTGTCTAATGGCATCAGTTCAGGCCCTGGAGAAATGAAGAAGCATATCCAACAATACATCCTGTTTGGCACCTGGCTTCCTTTCATAAAAGACACTATATTCAGTGAGTTCTTAAAGCTGGGGTTCTCGACTCAGACAGCCAGAAACTGCCAGCAAAAAGTTGATCAACTAGATATGGGAGTGAGCCCTGAATGCTACCTGAATTGATTAAAGCTTGGGACTCTTCCATCTATTGAGACTTTTAAATCAATGTGAAGATCCTGGAAGCTGTATGTGTTAATTCATGATGACTTTTCCAAACCAAAACAATCCACTATGGTAAGTGCAAATTGAGGCTGTCATAGTTAATACTTAGAGTTGTGCTTGTGTGCCACTGTCGGCTCTGAACACATTAAATATGTTGTTTGATCCTCATGACAATCTTATCCTTATGGGAGGGATCATTATCATCTCTATCTTCAGATGAGGAAACTGAGGCACAGAGAAGATACACAACCTATCTCAGATCCCTCAGTTTGTAAGTGGCAGAGTGGGTATTTCACCTCTGGTATTCTGATTCTCAGGTTTAGGTTCATCACTATTACTCCAAACTCTTGCTCAAACTTGCTCTTCTCCGTCGGGACTTGAAATGCTTACCAATCACATGGAATTATCCAGGTTCTCCTTCTAAGGTACTTTGTGCCCTGGTTATATTCTTCTTAGTAGCAGCAGTTCTCATCTTCATCCATGAGGCTACCACTTATAGGGAGCCTGCTGTGTGCCAGACAGTGTGCTAGGTACTTTTACAGTCATATAATCTCATCTCACCTTCCCAGCAATACTAAAGACTAGATATTATCTCCTGTATCCAGTTAACCAAAGGGAAGCTGACTGAAGTTAAGTGAGGTAGCCAGCATAGGATCAAACAACTAGGAAGTGCAAGAGGCAGAATTCAAACCCACCCTATGACTCCAGAACCAACACTCTTAACCACTTGACAACATGGCCTCCCTTCTGCTGTTCTCTTGCCTCTCATGTCTAGGTAAGCAGCTCCCACCAAGTCTGTACATGGACTCCTCAGTTCCTCCAGCACAGCTGCCCAACAAAGCCCCTTGAGAAACCCTTCTTAAATCTAGTCAGAGCTTCCAGAGCTGAGAGTTTAGTCCTGACTCTAATACTCTGTGTGGCACTGAGATCACTGAGCTTCTTTGAGTCTACCCTTCTCGGCACAATGGGCATAAACACAGCTACTTTGTGAGATTGCTGTAGGAATTACAAGATAATGAACATGAATACATCAACTATTTCAGTCTTTTTACTTATAATAATCATGGGCATTTCAACATCATCAAAACAGTAAATAACATAGGCTGTCTGAGCTTTCAGATACTGGGAAGCATAATTACCTTCTTCCAGAGCAACTAGATCAGTACTTTGGGAGGCTGTATCTTGGATCTCAACAGAACAATTTTTAAATGAGCGCTTTCTCTCACTTTCAGACGGTCTTGGATAATTCTGATGCTCATCTACAAAGCTAGGACTGCTTACAGATGGGCCACTTGTTGAATGACAAATTCAGGAAACAGCTATACCTCAGAATCAAAGTTATTGAAAGAATCTCAAAAGACTACTTTTTCAAGAAAGTTCAGTAAATGGTAAAGAAAAGGTTTTTGTGAGGTAGAAAACTTCTATATCAGAACTATATATAGGAAAAGAAATAACAGTAGTTATGAGTAGAAAGACCTATGATGAATATATCTACTATAATATATGCATCCCCAAATATTGGAATAAAAAAGAATTATTACTGCTGCTCATCGGTAACTTACTGAAAATATATAGTCTAACTCATAACAAATTGTGGAGTCATATGTATATGCACTTAATTTGCCAAAACAGCCATAAAGTTTAATGAGGTTAACTCCCAGGAGGCAGATTTATTAGTATTCACTTAATATGAATGAACTAAATAAAAATATTTAACAACAAACATGATGCATTCACCATTAGAACATGCCCATTAATTGTAAAATACTCAATTTGCTTAATTTTTTTCCTTTATAATCAAATTAAGCCAAATGCAAGTCCATTTACTTTACAGTGCCCAATCAACTATGCATTCTTTCTGCCACTTCCTTTATTTGGAATCTGCTCTAAATCTTGTGATATGCCTGGCACACTAAAGCTCAGATCTAGCCAAGGAATAAATCAAAAGTTGGTACTTTCTGGCACCACCAGGTTTAATTGCTTGGACTTGGGTTAGTTGAAAGGCACAAGGCCAGTAAAACTTGCCAGAAAAAAAAAAATACAGTAAATTTAGCACTTACTGCCTTGAGGTCTTCATTAACATGAGTATCATTCATTATAAAATCAGGATAGCCAACTTTTGCCAAAACAGCTCTTGCCTATAAAAAGGAAAAAGAAAGATGATGTCAGAGTTTCAACACTTAAATCATTAATAATCACAGAATGTAGGGATGTAATCTTCACCTGAAAACTCCATTTACTGAATATCTACTATGTTCATGCCCTTGTGAAAGACAAAATCAGCAACAATAATGAAAGTTAGCCCCTGTCCCCAATATATTAAAAAGGTAGTGAATGTAGCAGATACCTGCTACAAAAAGAAAAGTACAGTATGGTTATCAAAGTCCAGAGCCGAGATCATTTCCTTAAGTGAAAAAGGCAAGTCTTAGAGAACAGCTAAGATTTCAAGCAGCAGAGCTAAGAAAAACAACATTCCAGAAAAGAAAACAACAGACAGAGAGGAAAACATATTTATGAACCATACATCCGATAGTTTATTTCCAAAATACCTAAGAAACTTAAACAATTCAGTAGTGAAAAAATAGGTAGCTAGATTTGAAAACAAGCAATGGACCTGAAAAGATATTTCTCATGAGATGGGATATACAGCCAACAGGCATATGAGAAAAGTTTTACCATTGTGAATCAGCAGGGAAATGCAAGTGAAAACCACGATGAGATATCACTTCACTCCAGTAAGAATGGTGAGTCTCAAAAAGAGCGTGCAAGTATTGGCGAGGATGGGGAGAAAAGAGAACACTTGCACACTGGCGGTGTGAAATGTAAATCAATACAGTCTCAGGATGAAGGCTGGTCAGAAAATTAAAAATAAAACTACTATGAGATCGAGCAATTCCATTTCTAGGTATATATGCAAGGGAAATGAAACCAGTATGTAGAAGGGACATCTATCTGCACTCTCATGTTCATTGCAGCACTGTTAATAGTCAACACATGGCATCAACTTAACTGTCCATCATCTGATAAATGTATAAAGAAAATGGGGTAATATACCCAATGGAATACTACTCAGCCATAAAAAGGAAAGAACTTCTGTTATTTGAGATAACATGGACAGAAGTACAGACCATATGTTAAGTGACATAGCCAGGTACAGAAAGACATACTGCATGATCTCACTGATATGTGGTATTCTTAAAAGTCCTACTCACAGAAGTAGAAAGTAGAACGATAGTTACCAAGGGCTGAGGACTAGACTTGGGGTGATATTAGTGAAAGGATACAAAATCTCGGTCAGACAAGAGAAATAAGTTCAGAATATCTACTGTATAACATGGTGAATATAGTTAATAGCAATGTACTACATACTTGGAAGTTGCTAAGAGAAATTGTAAATGTTCTTACCACAAAAAAATATGTGAGGTAATGCACATGCTACTTAGCTTGATCTAGTCATCCTACAATATACACATATATCAAAACATTTTAGTGTTTATGATAAATATATAAAAATTTTATCTGACAATTTAAATGAATAAATATGAAAAAGACAAGAACAGAGGAAACACATGGATCACAGGGCTGCCAAGAATTCCTGAATGCCGTGCTAATGAGTCTCGATTTTATTTTATAGCTAAGAGAGAGCTACATATATTTAGAAGGAGAGTAAAAAGAGATGAGTCATGCTTCAGAAAGATTATCCGTACAGCCCTGTGAACAATAGCCAGGATGCCAAAAAGATTGAAGGCGGGGGTCCAGAATAATTTAAGATATGTCATCCCATCATATCCATCTTTTTGAAAGTCAAAGATACTAATTATCCTCTGTATTTTGCACTACACGGGGAATGGATAAAGGAAAAAAATCACGTATGCCAACGTAAGGAGGCTTTGGGGTAGAGGAGCACACCAAAGCCCCTAGGCCAAGTCCAACCCTCTTCCCTTGCCTATTTTTGTGGATAAAGTTTTACTGGAACACAGCCACACTCATATAGCCAGCATCTATAGCTGCTTTTGTGCTTTAATCGCAGAACTGAGGAGGAAGGACAGAAACCCTGTGGCCCACGAGGCCTCAAGTATTTTCTCTAGGCCTTTATGAAGTGTGTCTTAGAAAGTGTGATTAAAAAACTCAGTGAATGCTGCTGCTGAGTGCCATCCGACAGGAAGGTGGGTTTGTACAAACATTACCTATGCATCTTCCTCCGCTTTCTTCACTTCCAGGCTTCCTTGTAGGGTTAGACTAGTTCTGAGGTGTCCCCTGAATTCACACCCTCCCCTACCACTTACCCCTCACTTTCTTGCTTCTCCCATTCCTTGCTGGTTTTTCTTGGGGGTATTTCATTAATAGATCACTTGCACACGAATCCTCATCTCCAGATTTGCCTCCAGATAACCCAGCATAAGACCCAGGCAACCCCACACCTATTTTATTTCAGCAAAGCAACAATGCAAAATCAGCAACCTTTATACACCGCTCTTGATAACCAGTTTTTTCCTTTAGTCCTTTTCAATTTTCCTCACTCAGAAATAAATAGAATAAGATAGTACATTTTCTTTATCTTCCTTGAGATAATTCAAATATTAAATATCAGCAGAAACCTGCAACTTGAGACTCAGAGAGGATTTTACAAGTGCCGTAGGACACAATCATAATGGGTTTTGCTGTTCCAGAGACTCAAATATAGCACAGATCAAATTCTGCCTTTAAAACCCTGTGAGTTGTACACACTAAAAGCCTGATGTGACCCAAATAGCGGATGACTAGAGGTTAAAATTCCCCCCAGCACAAAACAATGTGTCCTATCGCTACAGGTTACCTTGTTCCGAAACTGTTATTTTCTTTGCTGTAATTCATTTCTCACTGTATTTTAGTAGCTTACCACAAGTCATATGAAAAACTATAGCAAATAAAGAGCTCCAGATAGTTCTTTCCACTCCATCCCCCAAAATAAAAAACAAGCTGAGTCATCCACAATTGTTGCCTGAACATACTGGCCTTTCCAGAGCATGCTGGTGAATTACATTTTGTTTTACAAATTTCAAGCTCTGGGACCTCTACTGCACTATGGACTCTCATAGAATATATTGCCCTCTACATTCTATATACAGATTATTGAATCCTTTCTCATTATTTATTTAGCATCACCATGAGTTGAACGGAATTAGAACAGATATGCAAAGAGTCTTCATTTGCCTCCCAAGAATATATAGCTAAAATAAGGTAATAATAGCAATGGCAACATGGCCAGCATCTGAATAGTGGGCCCTCCTCATTTCTACACTTATGCCTCTATTCAGACTTGAATGGTCCTTCTGCCAGAGTTTGCTGTCAGTTGCACACCACCCCAGCTGCTCTATTCTACATTTTCCCTGATAAGCTCCAGGATCATATCTCTCAAATTATATGGACCAGGGTTCAAGATTAGACTGCCAGCGAGAACCAGTCCTAGGCCGTTGGAAAGGTGGAAGAGAACAAGTCATGATTTACTCACTACCAATAACCATAGGCAGGCACATGGGCATCCACAGGCAGGAGAAAGAATGCTTTGCCAGCAACTTCCAGGCCTTCTTCCGGGAAGACCCCTTGAGTGTGCAGGCAGCAGACATCATGGGCAGCCTCTGCCTTTCACTCCCCAGCCCAGCAGCAGTTGCATAACCCTCCAAATCACTGTGTTAAACATCTTCCTGCTTGATATACATAAAAGGACATCTGCTTTCCCACAAGAACCTTACTGCAAATAGTGATCGTATCACTTTTTAACTTTTTCAGAATGAGGGAGGTGAAGCACCTATAGCTAATGTCTTGCTGAAGGACTAAGTATTAGTGAGGCAGATCTGAAACCAATTGCTCTGTTGGTAGGTTACATGAACAAAAACAAAAGGCAGGTCCCACTGTAAAACTGAGAAGAGTGGCATGAATATTTAACTGACTGCAAATTACATCCTGCAGTGAATATTTTCTAGACTATTCTCAGGATCATAATTAGGGCATACATTTCTTTTTTTTTATTTTATTTTAAGGATAAAAGGAGGGAAACATTAACAGACATACAACATTTTACAACATATCACAAGCACAATACAGACAATACAGAGTTACAAACAAAG